GGCACTTACTTCATGCAGCTTGGGATCTTCCTGGGTGATCTTGATCCCCTGTTGTTCCCCTGCTCTGGCGCCGAAGGCTCTCTCCGCTGGGGATCCAGCCGTCCCGCCTCTTCTCCCGGCCACCGGACTCTCCAGCTCTTTGGCTCGGGAGCTCCTGTCCAGCTGGGCTAACGGCAGGGACCGCTTTGCCCGCCGTTTGTTCCTCTCTCCCTCCGCCGCCTCCGGAGCGGCGGCCACCATTTTTAAATCTCCTGGCCGGCATCTGACGTCACCGTCAGCTGCCGGCTGCAGCTGTACATAGATGCAGCTAATGAGCTGTGTGGGCTCTCCCTCTCTCGCGGCATCCTGCTCTCCCGGTAAGTTTTCCTGGCTTCCATGGGTCCTGGGACAATCTCCTTAAAGAGCAACCACTCTTCTTGCACACCTGGGTCCCGTCCCGTCCCCTCCCCTCCCCTCTCCTCCCCTATGGGACCTCAGTGTTTCCCTGACTATTCTCCTTAGCTCGTTGAAGTCTGCCCTCCTGAAATCTAGGGCTGCTGCCTTGCTGCAGGCCTTTGCCACCTTGCACTGGATGGTGAATTCCAGCAGGCGATGATCACTGTCGCCCAGGTGATTCAGCACCTGCAGCCCCCTCACCAGGTCGTCACCCATGGCCAGCACCAAGTCCAACAAGGCATCTCCCCTGGTGGGGCTGTGCACCTCCTGGGTTAGATGGAGGTCCTGCATTTGGGCTAGGAACCCACGTGAGCGATCAGACCTGGCTGACTGCTCTTCCCAGTAGAGGTCTGGAAAGTTCAGGTCACCCATTATGACCACATCCTTTGACCTAACTACCTCCATGAGCTGACTTAAGAATTCCTGGTCTAGCTCTTCCCCTTGGTTGGTTGGTCTGTAGTAGACCCCCATTGTTAAGTCTCTTTCCCTTCGCCTGCGTTGTATTCTAACCCAGAGCACTTCCATGTGCCCCTCCACTGACTCTGTGCTACCTGATGAGGATGTGTATTCCTCTTTAATGTAGAGCACCACACCCCCGCCTTTCCTCCCTGTCCTGTCCCTCCTGTACAGCCTATAGCCCTTGATATTCACCGCCCAGTCATGCTCTCACAATCTCTGTTGTGAGATTTCACAGCAGAGTCCATGTGCTTGGTTTGGCATTCTGTCTTGCTTATCCTTTTTCATTTTCAGATTTATTAATCCAAGCTGCAAATGTATTGCTTCTTAGGTTTGAACAGGTTCTTACTTACAGAAGACATTGGTCCTACGTAGTAGGTGGTAAAAGTGTTTCTGAACATGGATGGCTAAGCTTCAGAGGATGATACTTTTGTGTTATGTAAGCATGTGTTGACTTTGAAATTGGCCAGTGCAGTCAAAGGATGGGAAAAAGTGACTGAAATTAGCCAGTGCAGTCATAGTCATGTTGCTAAAAATGATGACTTAGGTTTTCAACTATTTAGCTGTAGTAGGAACACTATTCATTTGGATTTTGCTTCTAAATTTTTTCAGATTTTAGGTAGCCATTTTTCAGTAAACTATTTAGCTGTCAGTGTCTTATGATTTTGTAGATAATAAACTTTATTTTGACATTCAAAGCTAGCCTGTACTGTATTGGTTGGAAGATGGATGTCTCTTTCTTGATTAACAAAAAGATGATAAATATTTGTTTCTCAAAACCAAAAAGGTTTTCCTGTTTCAAAGGTGAAATAGTGGAGAGAATATATAAACTACTCTGATATTCAAAAGTAGGGGCACATCTCTGCGTGGAGGATTCTTTAACCCAGAGTTGTCCAGCTTCTGAGCTACATTTGGGGACTGCACCCATGGAGGTCCTTCAGCCCATATGCTGTGTTGCTGGCATCCCCTTCCCCGTCTGCACCCCCCTGGGCTCCCCTGAGCCATCCACAGGCTCCCTGTGGGTCATGCTGCCCCACCCCCAGGGGCAGCAGCAGGAAACTAAAACCAGAGGCGAAAGGTGGGGAGCAACAGCAGCTAGAATAGTGAGGCGAGAAGAGCCCAGGTGGGAGCCTGTAGACTGCAATTTAAGCCTTCCCAGGCCATGAGTTCAGCAGCACTGCTCTAACATTTTAAGCAATATTTCTTCATCTCAAAATATACTTTTGTGTTACTGGCTTTATGGTATCAAAGGTACATGGACTATCTACAGCAAATATACTCTTAAAAAGCAAAATATAAAAATAGACATCACCAAACCAAGCCAAGAAACTTGCAGACACATGAGCTTACATGTGTCCTGCTAGTTTGTTTTGTTTGCCTAGAAAAAGATTAACTCCATAATATTTTTTAGGCCTTTCCTTCAGGAAACTTAGTTCAAAGGAAAAACTTGTAAAAAAACAATACAGGCCTGGACCTGCTTTATTCTATTTCTCATTGTTCTAGGGGTACAGGAACTGAGCTGTCTTCTGAAGCTTCTCTGTCAACTTAGTTCTCAGCTTCTATTTGCATAGGCATCACTTTTACTTTCCAGCTGGGTCTGAATGTTAAACAGGGCTGGCTGGCTGGCCTCAGGTCTCCTGCCCTGTAAAGGGGCAGGTTATTCTTTGCTTTTTGTTAGTTATATGCTTCAAAGGGCAGATAAACCAATAGATTTCACAGTATAAGTCAATATAGTTTAATCGAGTATATGAGTACAGGGTATACCTCTTTGACAAATCTCTTCCAACTTATACTTAGCCTCTGACACTAAGTGAAAAGAATCTGTATAGACTACTCTCCCCCAGTGTTATTTCTTGATGCATCAGTTTTTTTCAGTTATGCTGGTCCTCTCCTTTTATACCAACCTGTTGGAAGGTACATCAGATTTTTAAACCAGCAATTCCTACTATGGGAAATGAATCTCTCTCTCACACCAGGAAAAGTTTCTGTGGAAAAAGTATCTAATAGCTATACCATAATATCCAGTTATTTGAAGTGTTAAGGCATGCAAGCATTTCTTATAAGTGATTTTTTTTTTGTAAAATAGCTTTCCTCCTTCATGTTAAATAATTTATTTTAATTGATTTATTTCTAGATGGACATTTAATCCAGCTGTTCTCACTAAAGCCAATGTTGTCCGGAGTGGAGATGCTGCTCAAGGTGCAGAGGGAGGTACCTCACAGTTTCAAGTGGGTGATCTTGTTCAAGTTTGTTATGATTTAGAAAGAATCAAGCTGCTTCAAAGAGGTCATGGAGAATGGGCTGAAGCAATGCTTCCTGTAAGTGGGTTTTGTACACCAAATGGTGTATGTTGCATAGTATTTCTAATTACAGTTGGGAAAGGACTGAATGTGGAGTAGTGATGCTTTTTTTAATTGTTAGCTAAATTGAACTAGTGTAACTCTAGTGAAAACCATCCTTGATGCCAGTTTAGACATGGTTTAGCAGTCTGCAAAGCTAGAACGCAAACTGTTTGAACTCATGGTAAAATTATTAGACTGTGCATACACTGATGTTACAGTATGATTTTTAAAACTATTGTACTTCATACAGGTGCCAGTCTGCTATAGTATTTGAATATCTAAATGTCTTCATTTAAATATTATTCTCTCTCTTTTTTTGGGGGTAGACTTTGGGCAAAGTTGGTCGGGTTCAGCAGATTTATTCAGACAGTGACTTAAAGGTAGAAGTTTGTGGGACATCTTGGACGTACAATCCAGCAGCTGTCTCCAAAGTGGCATCAGCGGGGTCTGCAATAAGCAATGCATCTGGTGGTAAGTGAATATTTAGTACTGTATATATGAAATATCTAAAGATGAATGTGTCAACTCAGATTGACCAATACTGATTTGAAATCTGTATATAGGGGTGATACCGTTCAATTCTGGGGATATCTAGTGCAATATCTGGCTTCAAAGGGAGCTTGAAAAAATCCTGCAAAAAGTTGACTTAGAGTAATATAAAACACTCACAAGGGTCATCCTAATCCAAACCTCAAACGTAAAAGCGTAGTTGGTTTACATTCTCTTGGTATCTGAGACCTCCAGCAGACATTAATATTATCGCACGATTGGGATCAGAGGAATTATATGCACTATCCCAAATAGCATGAGTCCTGCAATTTTGGGGCTAAAAAATCTTTCGATCCTTATTGTGTGATTCCCTGAGCCCCAGTGGCATATACTGGATGCCCCTTTGAACTGTGGGGATCCTGGACTGCCTTTAGTGATCAGCGGAGGGCAGCCCCAGGTTTGGGACCTGGTGAGAAGAAGCGAGTTGTGGCTCCACGAGCTTCTGCATCTCTGATTTCAGTTAGTCCGTAAGGTTGCACCTCTTTTTGGACTTCTACTTCTGAGATGTGAAGTTGCAGTACCTGTGAAATCACTGGTAGAAGGGGTGTCACTTTGTGCTCCAAGCCTTGGGGAATGGATTTCAGTTTATAAATTTAATCTAAAAAGGCAGAAGTTTGATATATGAGGTAACCTGTGTGTGAATTAAAGTATAGAGAAGAAGATTTTTACTGAGCTGACTCTCAGGGTGGACTTGATTGATTTAAATCCAATTGATTTCATTCACTGGTCAGGAAGCCTCAATTTAATCATTGTTTTCTACAAAAAGTGCATTTTTGTTGGTTGATATTACCTTCATTAAAATATTCTCAAACAGGGTCTCTTTTCTGGCCTGGCAAGCCTGCTGCCATGACAGGTTTTTCCTTCTACCATACCATTCCCTCACGAGCTCTCAAATCAATGGAGAGATTACACTGGGAAACTTATCCCTCAAGGCTTCTGGAATATTCTGCTCAAAATGTTTCTTGTTTCTACTGCCCCTCCCTCTTTGAATTTACCTCCAGACTCCTTCCTTGCCCAGATGTACTCCACCCCCAACAATCCTCTATTTATTTAACTTCTTGAAACTTTGAGGGAGAGGGTAAGGGCTTGGCTCTGTGTACACAGACTTACAGAGACACAAGAGGGCTGATGGGTAGGTAATCAGGTGTGTTATCTCTCATCTCCATATACTGCTGTTAACAAGGATGTTATCTCAGGAGACACAAACCCACAGTTTGAGAACTGAAACTGAGCATCACAGAGATGCTTAATGGGATCTTCTCGACTGAGCACTGAGTCCCATTGGGTCGAGCGGTTTTCTTTAATAGTGACTAATCTATAAATGAGTCTCTCGGAGCCCCATAAGATTGGAGCCCTTAATATAGTCCATGGTCTGTTGTGACCTATTTATAAGACTTTTCCAAAAAGGTTACATGAATACATTGTCTCAAAATCCCTATTCCAGGATGATATCTTTGAGCTTTAACATATCTTAAATTAAAACTATTTTTAGATAGGTTCATTTTTAAGAAAAAGTCATTGTAACAAAAAAAATCAAAGAGTATGATTAAATTTTAAAAAATCTGGCTTTAAAAAAATCTGGTTTTTATTTAAAAAAAATAGTTGATTTTTATCCACCTTGTTGACTTTACTCAAGAGCCAGTAACATGACAGTCAAGGTAAGTGGGTAGAAATTTGATTTACTGGCCAATAACTCTCCTAGTATTCTTTGCAGAGTTAGATTTCATACTACCTTGAAGGTTATTAACACCTGTGGAATGAAGTGTTTAGAAAGGATCAGGTAGACTGTAGTGAGCCACAAAGTAAGTTGACTCCCTCTGTACTGCCTGACTAGAAATGCTGCTATTAGTACCAGATAGTTGGTTTTAAACTTGGGGTGGAAAAGAAATCAAAAGGCGTTGCATGTGCACCCCGCTGGTCCACCCCTGACTATAGCTACTTTTGTAAATAGCACAACAAATTTATCTTCTTTTCTGTTTCCCAGTTGTTGGAGTTGTGGTTCTAACAGTTTTTATGCATAATTTTTCCAGAAAGATTATCCCAGCTGTTGAAGAAGCTGTTTGAAACGCAAGAATCTGGAGATCTCAATGAAGAATTGGTTAAAGCTGCTGCTAATGGAGATGTAGCAAAAGTGGAAGATCTGCTAAAGAGACCGGATGTGGATGTGAGTACTCTTTATTGGGATTTCTGACTAAGGGAGCTGAAGCCATCCCAAATTCACTGCTGGGGATTCCTCATGCATGCTTGATTTCTTTTATCATAGATCTGGCTTGGGTGGTTCTTGTGCCTCCTTCCCTAAAACTTGCATGATAAGTGTGTCAAGGTTAGACAGGCAGGGATGGAGTTGCTGCCCTTTCCAGTAGGCATATTTTTGTACTATCTGTGGTATTGGCCCATAAGTTACTATTCAGTTGGGATATAGTAATGAATAAAGCAGCGCCGGGTAGGTGATAATTCCCTAGCTTCTAATAGTTGATAACTATTGTATGGAAGCAGGAGCCCTTCTCAGCTAGCCTTTTATTTTGGTTGCTCTGGTCAAGTTCTGAATTTGCTCTTCATGAGGATTTTGCTGTTTGGTGAGGAAGCTCCTTTTTTTTTTTTAAATCTCCTTCCCTCCCAATGTTGACAGGACTTAAAACAGGACTTAAAGACTTGTAGGAGAGTAGTTTTGGTTTATAATCAAGTACTGTTTTTCATTCAATAGAGTAGTCATCAAAGGCCAGAGCTTGGAAATTTCTGGCTTTAAAATTTAATTTGAATTTTGAGTTTATTCAGGCTTATGCAAAAATAAAATAAGATCTTTACCCAAGGTGCTCAGAATCCATCATAAAATACAACATTTAATCCTCCTGCAGAACATAGAATTGGTCCCAGAAACCTGATTTTCCTCAAAGGACAACTTTTACAATAATCCAAAGATTAAAATTTTCAATTTAGCAATAATCCTGTTTGAAATAAGTAAAAATCAAGGCAACCTTACCTTCCTTTTATTTGTCTTATGAAGTCAAATGGGCAAAACAATCCTAATAGATTATCTGATCCATTCTTAATGATGAACATTTTTGAGAGATTTTTGTTGAGTGAGTGATTCTTTTGGAAGCTATTAAGATATGTGGAATATTAGCAACCAAATGGAGATTTTTTTTCTTACAGTACTGGTGAAATGGGAGCTTCACTGTAAATTATTTCTCACATGAAATTTTGCTAGGGCTAATTGTTTTACATGTCTTCATATTTGTGTTTGCATGAATATGTGCTTCTGTAAAGTAACTTTATTAATATACAATTTTAGGTGAATGGACAGTGTGCTGGACACACAGCTATGCAAGCAGCTAGTCAAAATGGACATGTCGACATTTTAAAATTGCTTCTGAAACAGAATGTAGATGTGGAAGCAGAGGTAAATGAACATTTGAAAAAATGCAGTTTCTTTAAGTTCCAAACTTCATTACAGATAGAAGTCATAATTAAACATTTTTATAACATAGCTACCGATTTCCAGTTCTGGGGGAGATCAGATGCATCATCAGCAGTCCCTCTGTTTAATGTGTAGTCATTCTTTTGATGATTTGCTTCCAAAGGTAACTTTCCTTGTCTGGCTGGTTACTCAATTCTGTTGCAATCCTAATAGTGCTGGAGATGTTAAAATGAAGTAATTATTTTACAAGACGGGTGGTGAGATACCATAGAGACCTACTCAAATCATGATTTTGTGGAAATGCATGGGAGAGAGGGAGTGGGGGGGGGGGACTTGTTAAAAAAAAAATGCTGGCTGTGCAAGCCAGCACAAAGACGAGCAGATGAGATGGTTGCTATCCCCACCCCTCACTGCTGATTAGCTAAAAGGAGTCCCTGTTGTGCGGCCCTGCCCCTCTCAGCCAATCAGCAGCAAGGAGCAGGGCTGTACAATGACAGTCCTCTCCACCAGTCAGTGGTGGGAGTGAGGGGCATGGGGGCTCCACCACAATAAGCCCACAAAAATGGTAGCTGACCCTGCAGTCTGCCTGTGAAAAAGGCCAGTCTTGAGTTGGGTCGATCCCTAACTGTAAATAGTCCTGGGAGAAGGAAAGGATTCCTGAGTCAGCTGGTTTTGTTTGTGTGTTTAGCCACTCACTTTAATTGTCATCAGGATCCTGTGAGATGGGGCTGTTTTTGTAATGTGGAGCACTTTTAGTACAAGATTCCCTTTGTGCATCTAAATTGAATTTTTTTAGTTATGTAACTGATATTGTGGGTATTTATGTGTAAGCGGTGATTCAGCTTTTCCCTGCTTTGCGGACATGTAAGCACGTGCATGTAGACTGACCATAAGCAGTAAACTATGGTCAGCTTACCAGGCAGCTACACATGCTTGCCTATTCTGCATGTGTATCTGTGTCTAACTCAGGAAACTGTAGTTGGCCAGAAACCTGATTAACGGGCATTTGACTTACCCATTTGGTACTTGAGTCTTCTCTGCAAGTTTGAGGGCTCATAACTTTTTAATGAAAGGTGAGATTTCCATATAATTCTAGATCCTGAGGTTTAAAATGAGAGATTTCTAATAGAATTGAGTTAGAACTTGACTTTTGCCTCCATGTTTGCAATGCTGCTATCTGTTACTTTCCTGCCTTGGCCTGTGTCACGGAAGGAGGAAATAATCATGGTTTATCCTCTCATCTGCTGCTTATCAGGTAGCGAATATCTGTGCTGGCCTAGCTTCTGGTGGGAGAGAAATCGATTCATCAGTGGATTATAAAGGAGAATTTGTCAAATCCTTGGGTTTCAAAAGTCATAGGGCCCAGGGGAAACAGGTCTGACTCCTGTTAGGGTTTAGGACAGGACAACAGTGTAAAAATCTGAATTTCTCCTAGCTGGCCTTGCTGTCAGGTTGCAGTCCTTTGTGTACTGAATCTTGTTCTTCAGGAAGGAGGTAATATTTCTCTGAAGCAGTGATCCTTAATCTGGGTGCCCTAAAATCTTGTCAAGCATGCTGTTGTGTGTCACAGAGTTTGCACTGGTAGGTTTGCAGACGTGGTTCACAAGATAAACCAAGAGACTTCAAATGAAAATCTGTAGTGTTAGATAAATTGTTGACCTCTTCTGGTCTTTCTAAGTTCTTTGCAACAGAAGAATTGCTCTGCAGTTTTTCTGTAGTCCAAAAAAAAGAATGAAAACTAAGAGCTGGCATTTTTGAGAGGTCTCAAGTGTAAAAAAACTTGAGAACCACTGCTTTGAAGGCTCCATAAAGCTGGGTGTGTGACTCCCTATTGCAGTAAGGTAATAGAATTTAGGTGAATCTGAGAGAACAATTGAGAAGATGGGGATTTTGGAGGCACTAATACTGGGACATGAGATGTGATACAGTTTAGTGCTATAGCTGCCTGTAGTCATGTGTAGCAGGGAAGGCATAATAGTGCTCTGGGTTTAAAATCAAATCTAACCATACTTCAAGCTGCTGCTGGTATTTATTTTCTCCTTTTGCCTTTTCTCCCTTTACTGTGTTTGAGGTGAATATTAAAGAGACATCTACACTGTACTTACAAAAAAGAGGGTAAATGAGCTAATTGGATCCATACTAGCACAGCCAGACTGCTACCGGTATCTGTAGTTTAAAACTTCTAATCTATAACAAACCCTAGCATATCTACATTTCAGTCACTTCTGTGACTTAAGTGTAAGTACCTGAATGGTGTAGATTTGGGGATCCAGGGACACTTTATATGCAATTTGAGCAGGCATGTGGGTTGGAATGCAGCATGTGGTTGGGATGATTGAATAATGGATGGTAGTGTTAACTGACTTTGGCTGGGTTGGAGAGTACATGAAAATGGTGGAGAATAGAGAAAATTGTAGGATTGCATTTAATTAGGACCTGCCTGTACAGGTGTTAGCTTCATTTTGTTGTCTCCCTAAGAAATAGTTGATCTGGTGCTGAATAGTGATGACTTCAGTTTAATTGGGACACATCAGTATGGCTGTATGTAATATTTTTTTTTATTTGGATATTAAATAGGGACATAATATAGAATTCCAATCTGTATGTAGAAATTATTGGGTAGCACAGAAATAGGTAAAATAGTTCACATTTTCAGTTCATTTTCATTTTAATATTTAGCCTCTTTTTTAATGAGACTTGCTGGGCACAGCTGCTTAAGAAGCTGATTCTTGGTAGTGCTGTTGACATTCTGTGGTATAATAAACACTACAACATGCTTTATTTTTTTTAGAGATAAACTTATCAAGGAATAGAGGTAGAAATAATGTCCATATGTACTTGGAACTCCACACTTTAAAATAATTGCAAGTATTTGTGTCTTATTGATTAAGTGTTCATGAATTTCGCTTTTTGGCTTAGAGTAAATGAGGTTGGAACACCTCATTTATAATGATAGCTTGGTAAAATGATATGTTGTTTTATGTAATATTTCATCCTGAAGGATCCCAAAGCACTTTGCAGATTGTAAATGCATATGTAAAGGAGTTGTTTCACTCACCAGTGAAATACAAAGCACTCTCTGGAGTGAAATGTAGCTGCTGTTAAACATGATTCTATCATGTTTTACATCAATTCAAGATAGGTACTGAAGGCAATCACACAATGTGGCTAAAATGCAAGGGAGATGAGAGGGGGCAGAACATAATTACCCAATTTAGAATTTGGCCAGGACACTGGGGTTAACACTTTAATCTTTCAAAAGCTATCAAAGGGCCTGTTTACATTATTGGAATGCTGTCACTCTAAATATGGTGCTAGGAGATTTTTTTTCTGCTGCAGTGGTTATAGTAGTTCCTTGAACAGTAGACAAGAGTTGCAAACTCTGGGGGGAGTTTGAATAGCTACATTTAGTGTGTGCACGTGCATGTGTGTTTAATCAGTCGTAGCTGATTCATGGCAGAGGTTCTTAATGTAGACTTGTAGACTAAGCGTGCAGACACGTGGCTCATTTATTATTTAGAAAAAAATGGAGTGGACACATTACATACAGCCATACTTGGATAGTAAGTGCCTCAGTCCAGGAGAAAGTTGCATCTTGAAAGATGTGGGATTTACAATCTGTCCATTCTTGTAATCCAGGGGTGTCAAAGATACAGCCTGCAGGCTGTATTTGGCATCTGGCCTGTGGTGCTGTCTCTGGGTCTGGAATCAACCCCCCACACTGCACACTGCATAAGGCTGGCCCAGGTCATGCTGGGCCCTGGGTCTGCATGCAATTCCTGCCCCAGCCAGTCCAGGATATGGGGTCTTGGTGTGGATGCAGTGTGGGAGAGGCATGGCCATGGTGCTTTCTTTGTGGCCTCCACGTGCTTTCTTTGTGGCACCCCTGCTCTATTCAATTTAATTCCCATGGTATTTTTTTGCTTATAAGTGGCTTGATGACCACCTAGTGGCCAGGGGCTGTAATAGCACCTACTCTAGACAGCTGGTTGGGGAGATTGCAGTCATGCATCTCCAACCATAAAGTTATTGTCTGGTAAAACCCAGGGTAGCTTACTCCTAGTAATCATGTTATGTCTCCATAATCTAGGCTGTTATATCTTTTATAGAGTTTAACACTATTGAGGATTAACTTTCTTTCATACAATGATCCTGAACATACTATCAATAGATGAGAAATAGAGGAAAACCATTCAGAAGCATCAGTTACTAATCTCATCAATTTACTGTTTGCCTTGCACCTACCTAACTGATTTTTAGTTTGAAGTGCAAGCTAATGTTAGCAATTACTTGCATAGCACCAGTTTGTATATTAGCATATATTCTGTATCTAAATTATTATCAGTTGCAATGTTTTGAATTGATATGTACATAATAGTCATATAAATGTAGTGGTACAGTCTGCTTTTATGGATGTTACATTAACTAATTAAAGGCTTGAAGAGTATTTTTTGTTCTTGATTTATGTTCAGCTGAACATTTGCTTAAGATTTCAGCAACATGCACTGGACTGTAAAATAAGATCATTTCTTCTTTAACTTGATAAAGGATTAAACAGATTTATCTTGGAAAATAAATAGTGGAAGAAAACTTAAATGAAAATGAAATCTGTGTGGTTGTTATATCATAGATAAGTGAATGCGATCTTATGCCATAACTTGAACAAATAGCTGAGTGATATACTCAGGTATTGACTAAAGTATGTAGAATGAGGTTGGTCTGCTTTTAAACATTTTTGCTGACGGTAGCTATTCCATAGCATAAAAAAAAATGACCTATTAAGATCTTACCCAAAGGATCAGCCTGCTAGGTTTTGGTGTAGGTTCCATTTTCCTCTTCATTATGGTCCCTGTTCCTAGCCTTCTCATTAGACTTTAGATCACCATTGCTTAAAAAATAGAAATAACCCTAACAGTAGGGACTGTGGTACTTGGGTGTTCTCCCTTCCAAAAGGAGGGCCATGAACAGTAGGCTATGAAATAACACTTCCTCTTGCTTGGTTTCTTTGTCCTCATCACTCTTGCACTTCTGCATGACTAGTGGCCAGCTCCAGCAGGATAGGGAGGTGAAAGAGTGCCGTTGCCTACTCTGTGTGATTGTGCCCTAGCAATTAGGGCACATATTTGGGAAATGGGAGATGTAGATTAAAATCTCTTCAGAGTGAGAGAGGTTTAGAACAGGGGGTGCTCAATCTCCAGCCCATGGGCCAAATGTGGCTTGTGGAGCCATAGGTATTTGGCCTGTGGGGCTTTCCATGGATCAGGAAATTTGGCAGCGGGGCAGCAATAGCAGGAAATATGGTGTGGCCAGGTTGGAGCTAGGCCACACCCCTTTCCCCTGTGGCCATGTCCCCTCCCCCCCTGGGGCCAGGCTGGAGCCAGGCTTCCCCCTGTCTGCTTCTGCACAGCCAGATTGGGCCCTGCCATGACCACCCTCTGCCAGATTAGGTTCACTGTCTGAATCTAGCCTGTGGACAGCCTGGCCACTGCCCATCCAGCCTGCTGGTCTAGACCCCAGATCTTCTTGAGCTACTGTTCTAACCAGGATGCTGTTGGGCAAGATATAGGCTGCTTTCCCTCTTTAAGAAGTCAGGCTAGCCATTCTGAGCTACAAATGAATGAAGGTACCTCAGCAGCTACCTCTCAAATGGGATTAGGTACAATAGATAGTAAATGAATGGAAGTACATAATGGTCAGCTCAAGTCAGGTGCTTCAAACTACTGAGGGGAGCAGGAGTTCAGATGTTCCTGTGCTTTAGTTCTTTCCTCTTGGCTACCTTAAAGCTTCCTGAAAAGCTCCTTGGAGGTGCTGAACACTCTCCCTGTTCTTTTTTTATAGAACAGGTTTAGCTTGGTTAAGTTAGATTGCCCTTCAATTGCCAAAGTGTCCCCATTGTCATTAAATACCTAAACCTGTTCAAACTGGTTTTTCTGCTCTGTGGTACATAAATCTTAGGTGTTGAAACACTTGCATGTAGGCACCTCCAAGACCATGCAGCATCCACCTTTATTTATTTTTATCTAATTGAGGAAGTAGAATTAAAAATCCCTTAATCAGTTTGAAGCAATCTTTTTATAATTGCATAGAAAAAGGAAATGTGATCAATTCAAATAAATGTTTGCTGTTTAGGACAAAGATGGAGACAGAGCTGTTCACCATGCAGCATTTGGAGATGAAGGTGCTGTGATTGAGGTTTTACACAGAGGCAGTGCAGATCTGAATGCTCGAAACAAGCGCAGACAGACTCCGCTTCACATTGCTGTTAATAAAGGTCATCTGCAAGTTGTGAAGACTTTACTGGACTTTGGCTGCCACCCTAGTCTACAGGTGAAACAGATTTGACATGCATTTGCTTTTGTCTTCACACTAAAATGTTTATATAAATGTGGTGCATGGATGCTGTTTATAAATATGTCTAAAGGCTACAATCTGAATTGCTTTCTAGATCACTGCATATTTTATTTAAGTATAAAATACTTTTCTCCTTGCTTTACAGTTCATAAACAGTCAGATTAAATCTCCCATCTACTTGGAACTCCCTATTCTCCCTTACCAGTTATGACCTAGAAAAGAGACTTTACAACCTGAGTTGTAGGGTCAGCGTACTTACGATCATATAAAGTAAAAAAAAAGTTTGAGAGCTGACTTCATCAGTAAGAGTGGTCTTCCATCAGCTTCTTCTAAACAGGGACGTTTGAGAGCCTCAAATACCAGGTTTATATGAGGAGGGAAAAATGCATATACATATTGATTGGAAATCAGTGTAAACTGTGATACACAGCTATGATACTTAACATCTAGTTGGGAAGAGGTGTCAGGTGGGGTTCAACAGAAGTCTGTCCTGGATCTGATATTATTTATTATCTTCATTAATGACTTAGATAATGGAAGTGGGTGCATGCTTGGCAAATTTGCAGATGACACGAAGTTGGGTGAAGTTACAGACAGTCTGCAGGGTAGGGCTGGAATCCAGAGTGACCTGGAGAAATGGTATGCAGTCAGTCATCTGAAATTCAACAAGGACAAGTGCAAAATCCTGCACTTGAGATGGAATAACTGCATGCACAAATACAGACTGCCTAGGCTGCAGTACTGTGCAAAAGGAGGTGGGAGTTCCAGTGGACCATAAATCTGAATGTGAGGCAACAGTGTGCTCTTGTGGCAAAAAACCAAGACCAATACTAGGTAATCTTAACAGCAAATCAAGGCAAGTGATTCTTCCATTCTGGTCGGCACTGGCGAGGCCTCACCTGCAGCACTGGGTCCAGTTTTGGGGCTCACACTTGAAGAATGATGTGGACAGATTGGTAAGAACCCAGCAGAAAGTGACAGAAATTATTAGAGGCCTACGAAGCAATGTTTGAGAGAAGAAGAATGAAAAAACTAGGCCTATTCAGTTTGGAAGAGAGAAGACTGAAGGTGGATTTGATAAGTCTTCAAATGCCTGCAGGACAATTACAGAGAGGATGGAAATGGGCTTTTCTCTGAGGCCACAGGGGACAAGACTAGGAGCAATGACTTTTAAGCTGCAGCAGAGGAAATCTGGGTTGGAGATTAGGAAGTACTTTATTATGATGATCCTGGTCAAGCTGTGGAGCAGGCTGCCTAGAGAAGTTGTGATATCTCCATTGCTGGAGATTTTGCAGAGCAGGTTAGACAAATACTTGGCTGGGATTGTTGTCAGGGATGCTCCTGCCCTGAGCAGGGCTAGGTGGCTTCATGAGGTCCCTTCCAGCCCTACTTACCCATAGTCCTAAATAAAGTATGATGTTTCTTTAAAAAATAAAATAAAATGAGGAAGCTGAACAACCGGGCAATTATTCAGTGTGCAAGTTGTTGCCTGTGTGACCTATGTAAAATGCTGTAGTGAATCTTGGATAATGAGAAAAATTGAAATGTCCTGGTCAATGTAGGCACTCTGATTCACTGTTCCAGTCTGGATATCCTGTCAGACTAAAGACACCAGCAGTCTTCTGAAGGTGAACAGCTGAATAATAAAAGTAAGCAAACTTAGAGTAGTCAGTTTAAAAATTTAATGTTTAGTTAATTTGCTTGCATCTGGCTTACATGCATTACCTTTGTCTTGTATCTGACCTAGATGGGTTCCTTCAAACCTCAGCTTCTACTAAGCATTACATATACTAACTGACCTGTTGTATTCAGCCCAGTAATGGGATAAATGGATGAAATTTAATAGTCTGTGGTGTATAGGATCTAATGATCCTGTCTGGCCTTAAGCTCCTTGAATCTATGAAAAGTTATTTAGAGCCAGTGGAAAACATTCAGTATTTTCATAAGTTTCCATAAAATGGATGACTATTCACAACTCCAAATATGTTTTTGCAACTATGCAGGAGAATTTCAGAAAACCTTAGAAAACATCTTCTTCACCTAACCTACTCCAAAAGAGATCAACTCAAGAAGGAAATCAATACATGCTGCAACAATTTAAATAAGAGAAATCCGGCTATCTTCCCCAAAATTATACAATATATATGAAGAGACTGCCAAAGATTGTCTACAACATCTATTCAACATAAAAAGATATGGAACCAATTACTCCAGGAAGCAGAAACAATACCAGCACTCCAGCTTCATACTTGATGTCACTGAAAGAACCAATTAACCATCAAATATTATCAATCTCTCCACGCACATGCTTACTAAAGCTGAAAATTCTGTCCTCTCTAAAGGCCTGAATTTCTGTCAGGAAAAAATGCCCTAATAAAATACTACAGTGTGGAGGACTAGAAGAATTATTCTGTCTACTTTGCCTAAAGGAATATTTCCACAACCAAAATGAATCTGCTTCCAACAACATTCATCCTTTGACAACATCAAGGAAAAAATAACCCCAAAAAACCTATCAGACTGGACACCTCACTGGACAAAATTCCAAACCTTGAGTGCTATATTGACTGCTTCAGGGAAAAAAACAACAACACTTGCCACCATACAACCTCTCTCCCTCTCAGAGAGAAGAGCCATAGACTCTCTTAAGGTCCAACCACCAAATAATAATAAACTAGAAGGTAAAGGAGGAGCTATAGTTATCTTTAACAGCAAAGACTACATAAAAGAAGCCAAAAGACTACTCGGACACAATCTACTACAAAAAAACTAGAGGAAGATCCAACTCCCCTTTTTACCTTAAAACTCAAAACTATCATCGAATCATTTCCATCTGAACTACAAGAAAAACTACAAAACTTGATTTCCCCCCAGCCCACTACCCAACCCAGGGACTTATTGCATGCTCTCTAAAATCCACAAGCAAGGGAACCCGGGCACACCTATCATATCTAACCATGTAATCCTATCTGAGGAAATACCAGGTTTCATTGAATCCATCCTAAAACCTCTTGTCACCCAAAGAGTGAGTTTTGTCCAAGATGCAACAAACTTTTTATGGAATCTTAAAAATATAGACCACCTTCCCAGCAACAACCTTTTAGCCACCATGGATATTACCAGCTTATATACCAGCATCTCACACCAGGATGGCATCCAAACCTGTCTTACATATCTACAGGATCAAGATTACAACTGAGAGTACAGACCTAAAGCTATTACTGAACTTGTACACCTCATCGTCACGTATAACAACTTCACTTTCAGTAACCAGTACTTCCTCCAGACCATGGGCACAGTTGTGGGCACCAGAATGGCCCTACAATATGCCAACCTTTTTATGGGCTGCCTGGAAGAAGAATTCCTAAAGGACTGCACTATCAGACCCATATACTTAAGATATATAGATGGCATATGCATCATTTGGACTGAAAACCTGCAATCTCTGATTTGATTTCCATCAAATTCAGTAATCATCACCCGTCCATCAGACTATATCGCTTGAATACTCTAGCACCAACATTTCTTTTTTAGACACGATGATCAATATCCAGAATGGTAAAATACAAACCACCATATACAAGAAACCAACGGACCAACATACATATCTACACAGAACCAGCAATCATGCTAAACATACTAAGAAATCTGTAATAGACCACCAAGCCCTCCGATACCACTGAATTTGCACTTAGGAAAACACCTGCAGTTGTCACTTCACAAATCTCAAAAGGGCTTTCACTCAACAAGGACAATCTTCCAGAGAGAGAGATCATACTTTTGAAAGAGCCACCTAGATACCACATGAAGAATTGCTGCAGTACAGAAAGAAAATCCCCATGAATCACACACCATTAGTTATGATACACCATCCTTTCTTGGAACCTATACCGAAAATCCTCAAACAATTGCAACCCATACTAGAAGAAGACCTAGTTCTTAAAGAGATCTTCGTAGAACCATCTATCTTAGCCTTTAAACAAGCACTGAACTTCACCGACCTCATCACCAGAAGCAAACTTCTGTGGGCTAAAACACACCAAATGGATCCAGTCCATGCCAGGGCAAGAAATATAAAACCTGCCAACACATCTCCACCACTCCCACAATAACTACATCCCACAACCAAACCAATACCATTCCTGGATCTTATACCTGCACCTCCAGAAATGTAACATATCTCATCCAGTGCATTAAAGGCCCTGATGGAAAATTGTAGGAGAAACCAAACAACAACTGCATACCAGAATGAACTCGCACTGAAAATCTGTCAAAGACAAAAATACCCGATTATCTGTGGGGGCACATTTCTCATAAGAAAACCACTCTCGCTCCAATCTCTGTTATAATCCTCAAAGGGAATTTACAAAACGCTTGTCGCAGATGAGCCTACGAACTTCACTTAATCAGTCTACTGGATACAGAAAATCATGGACTAAATATAGACATTTATGACAGATTTATAACCTGCCTGCCATCATAACTTCAGGCACCTCCTCTACAATGTACTGGCTACTTTACATCACTATTTCCCCCTCCCCTGCCCCCCATTGTCTCTTACCCCCTCTGATTCCTCACTACCACATAGTTGCATTTTCCCTGGCCTGTATTGCTGCAAACTGGCTTCTGACCCATCCAGGAGACCACAGCACAACTGTAGACTCCCCCTCTGCCTGAAGAAGGAGGTTTGTACCCAAAAGCTTGCAAGGAAAATTTTCCAACTATTCAGGTGGTCTACTAAACTGAAAGATATCACATTTACCCAAAAAACCTTGTCTTCTTATTGCCATAAAAATTGTAGGGATAATGTCACATGTGTAGAGGAAGTTGCAGTCATCATTAAGAAATTGATTTCACTGAAGTAGATGAAAGTGCAGGAGATATATATGGGGTTGCATCTTCTCTTGAAATGTAGAAAGTAGACCCATAGTGTTAGCCAAATCATCATGTGATGAAAAATACACTTTAGTCTGTATACAGTAAATGTGAGGAGTTTGATCATTTGAAAAAATATCTTATTCATTCCATTTGCAGGTCATTTTATGCAAGTTTGCACAAGACATTTTTCCACTTTTGGAACATTACAGCTTTGTATGTGTGCCATTGTAACAGTACAAATACTTTTCAGAGTATGGTGGACTGCTAACACACGCAAATGAAATTCTGGTTCCATTTAAGTTAATGACAAAACACTTATTTATTTTCAAATATGGCCAGGATATCACCTTGTGCCTAAATCCAGAGAGTTTGTGCTTACGCAGCAACAGCATAAACTTACCTTTAAACTGTGACTTCACATAGACATTCCAAAACTGTGCATTTTACTTAAATTTTTGAGTTTTTAATACATTTTGTACAAATTTCTTCTGGGATGGAATAAATGTTTTTCTTCACTTAATTTGGATTTATTAGAAGTAAAACGGGTAAGATAAGATAAATGTACATTCCTAATTTGTTTTGGTATATACAGAACCATCTCTGGCACTTTATATTATCAAGTACTAGGAAAGTAGCCTTTTGCTAACTGAAAAATGGTATACTTCCCTTAAAATTATTTCTTTCTAAAAGCTTGTCATGTGGGGAATCTATTATTTTGCCTTGTTGATGCACTTTTCACTGGATGAGGTTTTTTCCTGATTTTTTTGTTAAAGAACACAGTATATCTCAGACATAAAGACAAAAATATTTGGTAATAGACTGGAATTAATTCAAACGATAGAAATGGCATTAATGAACTGTATTTCATTTGACTCTCCTAGTCTTGTTCAAGGCATTTTTTTTTCCTTCAGCTCTTCTGAAGATAGAGATTCATGGGAAACCAATTTTGTTTTTAGGATTCTGAAGGGGATACTCCACTCCATGATGCCATAAGTAAAAAGCGTGATGACATCCTGGCTGTACTGTTGGAGGCTGGGGCAGATGTAACTATTACAAACAACAATGGATTTAATGCTCTCCATCATGCTGCGCTAAGGGGAAATCCCAGGTAAGTGTTTTTGTTTCCGATTGTATAATGTTTGCTAAAAATAGTCTGGGGGAGGAAGGGAATTGTAGTATTAAGGTCAAGGAAACTTATAGTTGTCAAACAGCAGTCCCATTCTTATGTCATTTTCAGTTGCTCGTAACTTCTGGAAAGTTGAAAGGTATCCTGATGTACTTCTGCCTCAAAGTACTGTTTTTAGGGCAGATTTATTAGAAAAATGCTCCAGCTGTTTGACTATATGAAGGGAAGCTTGAAGGGGGAAGGAAATATTCTTCAAGTCACTTTTCTTTAACTCTTGGTTTTGTGCTATTTTTTAAGTTTTAGAGTTGAAACACCTGAGGGATAGAACTTTGGAATTTTGAAGGGGGTGAACCCTTATTAAAAGCCTTGAGTGTTCAAGTGGAAATTCTATTTGGAAGCAGGGAGGTTTTATTTAAATGCAAAGTACAGTTACAGTGATTGATAAAAAGTATTTAATAATCTGTTGAAGGAAGGAAGGTATGTGTATTCTGCCTGACTGACATGTACATAGTTAATGGAGATATTTACAATGTTGCATAGTGAGTGGTGGAGGGTCCCTAGGAATGGGATTGCAAGCTTGGTTGCAAATTCCCTTGCACATCTTTCGTTTTCTTAGCAACAGGGTGTGTACCTAGTGAAAAAAGTCATTTGTTGGCCTGATTTAACTTTTAAAGAATTTCCAAGGCTTTATAGTACACTTAAGAATTAGGCCCTTGGTTCAGATAATACCATGGATGCAGTTACATGAGCAACCTTAATTCTGCCCACTTGTATGATGGTTATTTCAGTCATTAGTTTCATCAGCTTTGGTCAGTATTTCTTCAGTAAAAGCATCATGTAGCTATAAAATAATAATTGTTGAATTTATGACAGTATTTAAGTAGCCATTGAGGTGACACATTTACTTTCATCCAATACAAAAAAATGTATAATCGAACACTTTCTGTGGTAGATCTGGCATTTTGCCTTCACAGCAGTTAATTCCATAATTGTTCATTTCAGGCATTATTTGTTGTGCTCAGTTACAGCATACTTTTTCTAATCTACAGTTAAATATAGTTTTTTTAGTTCTTGGTTTATTGCTCAGTTTAAATGAGGAGCTGTATGGAACATTTTCATTATATCATTGTTTACCTTACGGATAAATGACTTTTCCAGAGTTGTCAGGACAACAGTTCTTAGTAATTTCATATTCAGACACTTATTTCCTTTTGCGATTCCAAAATGCTTCCACTGATTTTCAGCTCATTGAATTTGGAAAAACAGGGCACCTCTACTGATGCAGGAGAAGAGAACTTAGCTTGACTTTCAGCTGAGTTGTTAGGGTGGATTATTAGAAAAGTCATTGTAAACAGCAATGTTGATTTTCATATAATAAACACAAAACTACATAATGCCACTTATAGCTATATTTATGAGTGGCACATTAAACCAGAGGAGGTAGATAAGTAGAAATGATGCTGTACTCAATAGGATAGATGACACCACTAGATTTTTCTACTGTGCTTATAGTTGTAGAATCTAAGGAAATGCTTCTAGGATTCAATCAGGATTTTAATATGCTCTTTTGAAAACATTTGCATCTATGTCGGAACTATGATTTCTTAATAAATCAATCACTGAACAGTACCATTTTCTCCCCATTTTTCCAGGAGACCAAGCCCTTTGAGAGTGTGGTACTGGACACACGGGTTCATCCCATCTATATTATGTACTGTAATTACCTGGAATTAGGGTCAAATCAGTATGCAGCTCAGTGAAACTTATTTTTGTTTTTTCTTATTGGTACAATGAAGCTATCTGTTCCCACAGTGAAAAGCTAACTGTTCCCGTAGGTTTTCCCCTCAATATTGGAATACATGCTTGCGGAAACGCATTTGGTAGCAACTGTCCAGAAATCACTTGCTGTCCGTTTATAAACTTGAGGGTACTCCTTGCTATAGTAGCCAAACAGTTAAATCAAACTGTCTGTATTTGGCAATAAGGTAGATTCTTTCTTTGGATATAGATTCTGCTGCACTTGCTCACGTCTGCTGCACTTACTCAAACCGCAAAGTAGTCTTTGCGGTTTGATTACTATAATCAGTTAGATTGCAATAATAAATCAGAATCAGCTCTAAAATGATGGTTCTCAGAGTATGCAGAACCCTTTCTGTATTTAAATGACAGAGGAAAACTATCCCAAATATAAATACATGAACCTTTAAGTGGTAACTAGGTACCACTGCTATAGGAGAGGAATGGTTAAATTTGGTTGGTATGTTAATCTTTTCTGAATATAATAAATTACTAGGCATTTAAAAGGAAATTAAATGCTTTATGCAAAATGCAAAAAATAGCATTTTGCTTTGTTAATGCAAAAAATAGTTTGAGTTAGGAGTTTGATGGGTTATTGCAAGAGTGGGTGGATGTTTTATATACTTGTATAAGAATATATTAATGGAAACAAGGAAAAAAGTCGCATTTAGTTTTGGAAGTTCCATGGTTTCTTATCTCTTGCCAGAATGCTGTTAGTCTAGGTTCAGTTTCTTTGAAAGTCCTATAAACTGTATTCACAATTGCTCCCTTCATTGTTCAGTTGATTTCATTGCCCTATTGTTAGCGTCCTTCTGGATGTAGCAACCTAGCTTCAGCAAGCACAAACCACCTAAAACCAGAGGCATGATACAAATATACTGACAAACTTGGCTTAAGTAGGCCATCTTAATCTGTATTAGTGGCAGTTTCCATGTGCCTTGAAGCTGTAACCTTATATAGAGAACACTGCAATAATCAAGCCTCAGGGTGACAAACAAAAGTAAGTGTGCCAGTGTATCAGAATGAAGGGTTCATCTTTTTGCTAAATATAGAGCATTTCATTCAGTTGTTTGGATCATAGGAATATGGGGCTGGGAGGGATCTCATGAGCAGGTTCATAGGAAAACAGCATTAGAAGAGACCTCATGAGCTCAGGGCAGGATCATCCCTGCCTAAACCATCCCAGCTAAATGTCTGACTAACCTTCTCTGGAAAATCTCCAGGGGTGGAGATTTCACCACTTCTCTAGGCAGCCTATACCACTTCTTGACAGCCATCACAGTGAGAAAGTTCTTCTTAATCTCCAACCCAGATTTCCTCTGCTGCAGCTTAAAAGCCATTGCTCCTAGACTTGTCTCCTGTGGCCTTAGAGAAAAGCCCATTTCCATCCTCTCTGTAATTGCCTGGCAGGCATTTGAAGACTTATCAAATCTGCTCTCAGTCTTCTCTCTTCCAGAATAAATAACCCTAGTTCTTTCACTCTTTTCTCCTAAGTGTTGCTTTCCAGGCCTCTGATCATTTTGTTACTCTCTGCTGGGTTCTTACCAATCTGTCCACATCCTTCTTGAAGTGTGAGGCCCAAAACTGGACCCAGTACTGCATGAGGAGGCCTCACCAGTGCCAACCAGAATGGAAGAATCACTTGCCTTGATTTGCTGTTAATAGTGCCCAGTATGCTCTTGTGTTTTTTGCCCCAGGAGCACACTGTTGCCTCACATTCAGCTTTATGGTTCATTGGAACCCCCGACTGTTTCTCTGCAGTACTGCATTCTAAGTGGTCTGTATTTGTGCATGCAGTTATTCCATCTCAAGTCCAGGACTTTGCACTTGTCCGTATTGAATTTCAGCTGACTGATTGTGGTTCACCTTTCCAGTCTCTCCAGGTCATTCTGGATCCCAGTCCTAACCTTCAGAGCATCTGCAACTCCACCTAACTTGGTATCGTTTGCAAATTTGCCAAGCATTCACTTGATCCCATCATACAGATCATTTATGAAGGTGTTGAACAATACTGTACCCAGGACAGATCCCTGAGGAAGCTCACTTGATACTTCCTCCCAACTAGACATTGAGACATTAATGACTGTTTGTTATGCATGATGATCCAGGCAGTTATATGTCCATGTTACAGTACTTCCCCTAATCTGTATTTCCTTAGTTTGTTAATGAGAATGTTATGGGAGATGGTGTCAAAAGCCTTGTTTAAGGCAATGCATGTCACATCCACTGCTCCCCCACATGCCCTGAGATTGACCTTATTATAGAAGGAAATCAAGTGGCTAGGCATGACTTGTTTTTGGTGAATCTGTGTAGGCTGTTCTTGATCGCCAGGTATCTGGGTTTTCCATTTGTAGTGTAAAAACATAGTAAAACCTGGATTTTCTCATTTTAAGGAGAAAAACTCAGAAAACAGTGGGTTTCCCCTTGCAGGCTGGGGAGAATGGGAGAGGGCGGTCAGGCAGGGATTGCTGCGTGCATGTGCTTGTTCACACATCCACATGGCTGCCAGGCAGCCTGGAGAGCAGCTTCCCACAAGTAAGTCTTTGGGGGTGGGAGGGAGAGAGGGGAATTGAGGCCTCCATAGTGAGGGAGGGAAGGAGTTGGGCAGAGCTAGGGCTAAGACTTGGGCTGGGGCTGCTGCCTAGCTGGGGCAGTGTATGGGACTTGGGGGCCTGTGGTTGGAATGTACAGCTGCAGGGAGCAGGATGGGGCTGTGGGCAGCTCGTCCAGGGGGTCAGGCAAGGGGCCTGGCTCCCTGCCACTGCATGTACTCCCAGGGGTGGCCATAGGAGGCATGCAGCCCCCAGATTTGTGTGTAGGGTGGATGCAGGTTTCCCACTGCAGACTTGGCACTCCCAGCCCTCCCCCTGGGGCCTCTGTAGTCTAGCAGGCAGGACTCGGTGTGCCAGGGTAGAGTGGGGAGCTCCACGCCACCATGGTGAGGCATCCCCTGGCCACCCAGCAGCAGTGGAGATGGCAGTGTGGAGTTGTGCCCCTCGCTGCTACTAAGTGGGCAGGGGGAACTTCATCATGGTGGCGCGGAGCTCCCAGTGGTGGCAGTGAGCTTCCCTGCCCAGCCCTGTCTGCCCTGCTGGACTGGGTCCTTCCTGCTGAGCTGTTGAGGCCCTGAGGGGAGGGCGGCAGGGTGGGGAGCCCCGAGCCCACAGCAGGCAGCGCACATGTGC